AAAAAAAGCACTACACCTATGTCTGGAGTCTGGAAGATATACTGTGTGAAATATCTCAGCCACAAAGGGGCAAATACTGAATGACCACATGATTGGAATAATCAAATTGAGACGAGGAAGGGGAGCAGAGCAGGAAAAGAATGACTAGATCATGAATACTTTATTGAAATGAGTGAAAGGATGGACATTCTGAAAGGAATGGATGATTAGAAACCACGTGTATTACAATTAATAGCCTAGTGAGGAGAATCAGGGGGTGGGAGGAGAAGGAAAGTGTGCATGAATAAACAAATTATGATTAAAAAATATACTAAATACAAAAGATAGACTAGAGATATAGAATTAATTGACATATGTGCTTTCTAATTAGGCTGAGGGCTTTCATAGCTTCAAGTCTGATGAAGGAAGTGATGTTACTAACCAATACAGTAAAGGATAGGAAGAGTTTAGAGGAGAAACTGATCAATAAAAGATGGAAATTAGGAAGAAATTAAAATTTAAAGAAAGGTTTAATCCACAGGTTTTGGAATATAAGTGATCTGTTTGTGAACTGTGGATGAGCAGCTGCCACCCGTGTGACAGACAAGGTGCTGGATTTTTATGTCATTAGTTTTCTAATTGATAAAAGGAGAGAAATTATATCAAACTATTTTCATAGTGAACACTGATAAGATAATGATAAAGATCAAATAAGATGATATGTAAACATTTAGGAACATTTGGTAAGTGTATAACAAATAGTTACAGAACAGGGTTCAGGTCTTCTGTTCATAGTGTCACTATGAGTCGTGTTCGATTTGATGACATTTAACCACTCCAAAGTGAGACTAATGTTGTTATATTTTGGAGAAACATTCTTCTAAATTGTACATTACTCTTCTGTCAATTTTCTGTACTGAGGTAATCTGGGTTTGCTGTGATGCTGAACCTTGTGCCATGGGGGTTTCAAATGACATAATGGTTTCCCAGTGTGGACAGTGTTTGGTGGGGCTCCCACAGTCAAACAGGTTTGGGAGCAGGAGTGGCATCCACTTCCTAAACACAAGCCTATGGAAACTATGAACTTGGAGAAATGATTATAGTTATAGAAAGGCGTTAGATCTTTTTTTCAAAGAGTTGCTATGAGTCATGCATGATTTGATGACAATCATCAACAAAAACAACAACATAACAAATATTAATTATTAAAATGATTTGTTATACTTTGTTTTACCATAAAATCAATACTATAATTATTAGTAAGATTATATTATATTATCTCCTGAAATGTGTTTTATTTATATTATCACTAAGGTAAAAATGTTCTTATACCTCTGAAGAAAAAATTGCAGGCACATGAACCCAGCTTTAGATTTACTAAGCTATTTTCGTTATACTTCATCAAAACAAACAAGGGAGTATATATTTTCTCATTTTACAGATAAATACGGAGGTTCGGAAAGGTTATGTGCTCAAGCTTAGAAAACAGTTTAGTTGCAAGAGTTCATATTTAGATATGTTCAATAATAATAGAGTGGATTGAGAAATCATGGTATATTACATGATGGAATACTATGTGGCATTCAGGAGCAATGATTTTGAAAATTACTACATTCCATGGGAGAGAATGGAGACCATTATGTTGAGGAACTAACTCAATCTTATAAGGACAAATACTGCATAAAATAATTACTGTAAAAATGGAAGGATTAATAGTAAATTGTGTAATTCTTGGGCCTAGGAAAAGATCCAAGGTAGGGGTGAAGGGGAGGGAGCAGGAAGGATAAGAATGGACAGGGGGTAAATCATGCAGAATTTGGTAAGCAGAGGGAAGGGCTAAAGGGAATGGGAAAGATCCAGTGCAGAACTGAAAAGACAGGACAATGGTAGGCATAGATTACTATTGATTAATTTTCTAAAGCAAATGTATATGAATGATTGTATGAAACACAATGTGAATGAAGGAAAGCATGAAACACAATGTGTATGAGTTTGTATGTAAACCAATATAAAATTTTTAAAAAATAGCTCATAACTGTCTCCCAACTATCACTTACAAAATAGATATCCATTTATTTGTACTGCTTTGTCATTTCTTTTGGATCTAAGCTGAACAAATAGATTATTTTCTACCAAAAAAAAAAACCCACAAAAAAACACCCATAAATCTCCAGTGTGTTGTAAATCTTGTGACTTTTCTAGCTCTGGACAATGCTCGTCTCAAGGCTTGTCTTTAGAGGAAATGAAAAGAAGTCTTCAATTCTCACCTGTTGATAAATATGGTAAGTATTATGCCGATTCTTTTGATTTATTCATTTTATAATGAGGGATAAATACATTTTTTAATATCAAGAAGTAAGAAGTGAGAGATGCTTTAAAAAAGGATACTGATTTTAGTCTTGGAAGTCTTATATCACTCTTCATTTACTTTCTAACATAATGTGTTTGCATATATTCTTTATATTTGTATGTATACATACACAGCTCTTTTTTATGAAAATAATCTCCTTCGTCTAAAGATACACTAAACACTTTTCCATCACTTTATTGAGCCCATTGCCCCTAAATACCACATCACAGGTAAGGAGGTACATAGAAGAAAAAGAGAAGATGAGTTTCCACAGATGTATTGATGGTTGAGAGATCCCTACTTTTTCATTCATACACTCTAGGAGAAAATATAACCTTAAACATTATTTTAAAAAGCTATAAAGGAGACAATGGTATCATCCTGATATGGTTGCTTCTAAAAGAATATGTTTTTGTTGAGTGCCATCAAGTCGACTATGACTGAGAGCAACCTATAAACAAAAAATCAAACCTTACTCTCGCTGGTGGTATCCTCGTGATTTCTGACATATTGGAGCCCATTGTTACAGTTACTGTGTCCATTCTTTTTGTTGAAGGTCTTCCTCTCTCTCTCAGACCCTCCAAGAAAGAATACAGTTCTTTTAAATAATTAACAAAGTTCTATGAACAAGTTTCTAGGAAGTCAAACTCATCTTATTGGAATTGAGTAAATTCTGAATTATAGTAACCTATAGACAGAATAGAGCTGTCCCATAGGGTTACCAAGGCTGCAAATCTTTACCAAAGTAAGCTGTCAATCTTTTATTCCCGAGCCTGCTGGGTTATGTGCAAGATGAAGGCAAGAAGGAGGAAGACAATGATGTCCAGCTTTAATGAAGTCATTCATCAGAGCAGGGAGCTGGAGAAGAGGACCGCGGAAGAGCTCAAGAAGATGAACCAGCAAAGGCTAGTGTGGCCTGAGCTCTTTGAAATGTCTGGAAAGCTAGACTATTACTTGAAGACTTTTGTTAAAAGAAGCAGATCTATCCTGGCCGAGGTAAGCAAACACAGCTCAGCCCTGTGGGATGTCATCAAAGCCTTATGCTTGGCCATGCAGCTGAAAAAAGTAGACCAGCAAACAAATAAACAAGAATTAATGAGCAGTGATGAATACAGATAAAGACATGATTTCAAAGAGGTGGGGGAGCAAACTGCCACAGCTTTCTCCCACAGACTGGCTGATCTGTTTAAACCACCAACCCTTTGAGGTAGCAGCTTAGCACTTAACCACTGTAGTATAGGAGAAAATCACCACTAGCAACAATATTAATATATGAGATTCCATGTGCAAAATATCCCATGGACTGCCAAAAGAACAAACAGATATGTCTTGTAAAGAGTCCAGCCAGAGTGCTCCTCAGAAACAAGGATGGTGAAGCTTTGTATTTCATCCTTTGGACATGTTGGTAGAAGCTATTCCCGGGAAAGGAATACCCTACTTGGAAAAGTTGAGGGTCAAGAGAGAAAGACCTCCAATGAGATGAATTGGCACAATGACAACAGCAATGGGCTCCGGTGTATCAGCAATATTGAGGATGGCACAGGACAGGACAGAATTTGGGTCTGTTGTTCCTAGAGTCACTATGAGTTGAACCCGATTTGATGGTACCTAACAACAAGAAGCCTAAGAGGCTCAATATATGATTGGAATTCAAACATTCATTTATTTATGGGTACTTTAACTATATAGAAGATTGGGAAATGTCTGTCAGTTAAAAATAGAGATTTAGATAAGATTTGAGTTTCAAAAACTCAGTGGAATAAATGTATAATATGTTGTTCTTGCTTCTTAGCTACAGGTGTCAACAGACCCTAGAGAACTGGGGCTCTCATGGTAGTAGAATGTATTTTGGACACTCTCAACAAAGTATCTTATCTGCAGAGTGTCATTACCTAAGGCATTAGAAAGCTCTTAAGAAAGAAAAAAAAATTCTGCATAGCTGTAGACAAGAACTACTTAAGAACATTAAAGAAAGAAAACTGTATGCTCCTGACTCCCCAGTACGTGTCTAGAAAGCAGCCGAAAGCTTTTTATCATCAGCTTTACAACATAATTGGCCAGTCCAGTAGCAGATCCTTTTGAGGGTAAAATGTGCTCCAAGTGTCACATCATTGCACTTTTTTTATAGGTGTAATATCATTTTTTCAACCGTTTACAGATGTGACTTCACAACCATAAAATATAGGGCACCCTTTGAAATGTGTTCTTTGACCAGAAATCTTTTTTTTTTTTTGTAGTAGAGAGAGTTTCAAGATGAAACATTTTTTTTAGCTTTAAGATTTCTTTCTTAAAGGAATAGAACTTTGAGTAGAATTTCCCAAAAAGAAGAAATAAGACAAAAGGGCTGCTATTATACAAAAGTCGGGTTTGCCTATGCTTTTTATTTTGCATTAGGAGTAGAAAAAAAACATTAGAATACTTGGATAGCACAAAGTTTTCTTTAGAGGGAAGGCCCATGTAGACAGAGAAGATACTTTTAATAAATTAGATACATTCAAGAACTCAACTCAAAACTCAGTTCACTGAGACATTAAGTCAGTTCCAACTCATAACAATTTCCAATCCAGTTTCCAAGGTTATGAATTATAACTAGAAGAGACTGCTCATCTTACTCTCAGGAAGCAACAGGTGGCTTCGAACTCAAGAAGGTGAGATGTCTCTGAGTTTGCAGCACAAGTCACTATGAACTAACCCACCATACTTCCCTCCGTATAAGATAGAACCCTTTGTCTTCAATGTCCATGTTACAAAGTAAACATAATTTTAACTTTATGAACTTGGATTTTCTTCCTCTTTTCCACCCTACCAAACTGTTTCCTTTCTATATGAGATCTTTCACCCTAAAGTAATAAAAGATGCAGATATGATTCAATCTTTTCCTAAAGCCTGGGATCAAATTTAATTTGGGTCTCTTTGAAACCCACCCTGTGGGCACTTATGTTTACAGTGTTGTTGTTGTGTACCATCAGGTCGGAACTGACCCATAACTGACCCTCCTGCAGGTTTTCAGAGGCAGTTCATCACAAACAGTGGCATCATTATAGCAGCATCCGTGCTCTTACCAGAAGAAAAGCCTATCCACACTGGAGCAATGTATGTTCAGAATTGGATTGCCATTGCACTCATGGAAGGAGAAAGGCATTGGAACAACACTGACCAGTAAAACAGCATGCAGCACAATTGAAGGTTGATTATAGTAATAAAACCAGTATGAGCTAATGCAAGCATCTATCTATACCTAGAATGAAGGGACAGTTTCAGGCTGGCCAAAGAAGTAGTTTTGCTTTTGGGTGCAAATTTCACTTCAGTACACCCAGAGATAAAATACATGTACATCCTGCTTCCCCTCATCTCCTCCTCTACAGCACACCTTTCCTCTTCCCTGAGGAGGCTGACCCCGCTGGAGCTGAGTGAGAGAGGGTAGTCAGCAGTGGTTTTGGCATTAGAGGTGTTTTCTCTCAGGAAATCTTATGTGCTGCTTAAGGAATTTTGACAGAGACCTTTCTGATGAAAATAAATATGCCCATTCAACTGCATATTGCTTGATGCCTTGATGAAAATGTAGATGGCTGAGCTGATTCTGAAAACTCGGCTATCAAAGGAGAGCAAAGGTAGCAATAGGTCTTGACAAATGGGCCCATTTTCAGAGAAGAAATAAATGGCTTCCTTATCGTAGAGCAGAAAGGCAGCTGCTTCCCTGCACATATCCCCATGTTCTCTGTATAGACACTAAGCCCATTCTCTCTGGACACACTGAAAGCTATTGCTTTAGTGGGCATTAATTAGCGTTGGTATTTAGGTATGAAAATGCAAGCCATTTAAAATTGGGCTCTTATGGAGGAAACGCCAACAGAAACAACCCACTATAGAGAGAAGCCCTTTCCTTTTTCACCCCTACTACTCTTTCCATTTTTTTAAAAAAGCCATCATTAAAAGAACAAACAAAAACCTTACTGTTGTCATACACTATGCTAATTGCTTTACATGCAAACAACCCTTAAAAGGTAAGTACTACTTTTTGCCTCATGTGCAAATCAAGCCATTGAAGCTTATAAATGTTAAGTAGGAGGACAAAAGTCACCTTGCCAGTAAACTGGAAAGAGGGTTTACACGCATATTTGCCTTACATAGTGCTTTTGATCATACCAGCAAATCATCTTTTTGGATTGCCTCATTTACTCCAAGCCCAAAAATCTTGCCAGAACAATGTTTAGTCCAAAACAGATATCCATCATGTACGTTTCTCTTGTCTCTATTCTCTGTTTTCATTTTAAAATTTGCTTTTGTTGGACACCTGCTCACCAGCAGCACTCCCTCGGACTCTCTGTTCCCATGAGCCTGGGAAGCTACCTGGTTCCTGCATATTGTACAGAGCCAAGCTGGTTCTGAAAACCGGCGAGGTGAGCTGAAAGGCCAATAAGTAAAAACTGAACTTCTTTTCTGATGCAGGCTACGTGTCTGATCCCATGAGTCCGATGCATTTTCATTCTTGCCAGAATAGTGGCAGTTTTGAGGACAGCAGCTGACAGAATTCTGCATATACCTGAGAAGGGTTTGCCACAAAACTGACAGCAAGAATTCGAACCATGGCAGGTTTGCTTCCAATTATAATATTTTACAGCCTAAAGTCTCCTTAAATTGGCCTGTTTATCTACTGGTCCTGTTTAATTCTCTACCACAAATTGGATTTTAGATGTATGACTAATGAATAAAAGGCAAAATTCAAAATAAACTTTATGTTAATTGTATTTAATTTGATACATGAAAAAGAAACAAGTTGCTATCTTTAAATGTGTATGGGTCCTAAGTCTGTGGTAATCCCTTCACAATTGTTCCTTTCTCCCCGTTCTGAGTGTGCAGACTTGTGTTTGAGAGCTCTGTGTGTGATTTCATAGACTGTTGTTCATTTTTTAAACCTCATTATGTTACTCTGGTTTGTAACTCTGTGATTAAAGACTCCTTGGTGGCATACAAAATTGATTCAGGAGTGTATTTTGTTTCAATAAGATTTCTACTAGATATACCTTCTGTAGTAAGGACTTAAGATCAAGACACTCACAGAAATATGGCAATTATTTATCCTTCTTTCCACGTCATACCAAATTCACTGGGCTGTGATGTAGACAACTTGTGGCTCTTGGCACCAAGATGTTGCAAACTCCTTTGGTTCAGTTATGAAACCAGCCCACTAGTGCAAGCCAGCTGTTCATAGCAGAGCTTGCTACAGTGCTGTGAGAGGGTAATTAAGGACCTACTTCATTCAAGAAATAAGAACTCTTCCCTCATGTTCCAACCAGGAGTGCCGAAGTGGTTCCACAAAATAAAACCATTTTCTCATGCAAAAACTTGGTCATAAACCAGAAAATCCAATGACAATTACTGCTTTTGAGCACAAATAGAGTCAAAACAGAGAAGAAACAAAATTAACAAAAGATGATTAGACATTCTCTACTCAAATATTCTTAACTTCAGGTGGACGTTTTGGATTAAGTAATTCTTATTATAGAGGTCTATTCTGTACATTGTATGACTTTTAATGTGACATAGTTATTGTGTTGGTTATTAGAATTTGCCCCTCCATAGTCTAAAAGAAAAGCTCTAGTGCTTTGCTCCCATAAAATCATGGACAAAACTATTCTCTGGAGGAGTTCTGCTCTCTGGCACACGTGATTGTCATGATTTTAGAATAGATAACCATTGGGATGTAGCTACTAAATACCAATATTGCACCTTCCGTCATCACCATTGTGTTTCCAAACATTGTTAAATTAATTGCAGGGTTTGGGGGAAATGCCCCTGGCTGAAACCACTGCTCTAAATTCAGAGAGAACAGCTTGGGGACCTGAAGAATAAAGGAATGGACACAGGGTTAGATCTCATCCTGAATCTGTCTAAACTTTAGGTATATCTGCTTTTTCTAACCTGTGATCTCACTGCACATGCATACACAAATGGAATTGAATGGAAATGCTGATTGTGGCTCCTTGGATATCCATGGTGAGCTCTTCTAGGCTTCCCTTCTGCCAGTCCATTGGTATTACTGGATGGCCATTTCTAACAGGAGAAACTTTAAAAAGTGGCAAGCTCCATTGAAAAACAAGGAACTCATTAAATAGTATTTAAAATGGGTGACCCTGGAGGACATTATGCTGAGTGAAATATCTGTCATAAAAGGACAAATACTACATAGTGCCACTGTTGTAAAACAGGACTGACATTGCAGTTGGGGGAGACTGAGAAAGATGGGATAAATAGTCTATACTGAAATGAATGAAACAAATGAGGGAATAAACTGTTTAAATGGGATATGTGATTAGTTATTTCTGTTATGACAGGAGTCCAGAATGAAGGTGGCATAGTGGAGTGGACCTGGGGGGAGGGATTGTAAAACAATGAAAGAATTTTTCTTTTACTTTTCAAAAAGAAGAGTGTACTGGGGGGGGAGGGGTGAACAGGGAGAAAAGTGCAATAATGAATGAATGGAAATTTTTTAAAAAATGCTGTGATTCCAACTCATGGCTTAATAAACTTAATAGGTGAGTTCTAAAAAAAGAAAGTGGCAAGCTCACCTCTGAAGTTTCATTTAATTTTGTATGACCTATGGTTGTATAGTTTCCCGTTGCAACATCGTTTGATTGGCAGTGGGTAGCCCAGTAGAAGTCTGGAGGTAGACATTAAAATCATACTACTTCCAACTAGATTTATACTTTGTTAACTTCCAGGCTTTTCATTTCCCTATCCAATTATTCTGAAGTTTTAGAAACACTATCCTACAAAACAAATACCCAAAGGGCTTTGTTATAAGAAAGACCAGCAATGTGACATGGCTACTCAGGCATAAGCCCCTGGGGGGGGGGGAGGGGGGAATTGATTTAATGGTACCTATCATCATAACTCTTCCCTGATTCCTTCACTCCAGCTGCTCTACCATGTGGGCCTTAGCCTGGGATACACTTGAGTTTAACTCCTTTGTGAGTTGAATTTAAATATTATTTTAGAAAGTGAAGAAAAGCAGTTTAACTATTCATGGTATTGGTATATATAATACTGAAGGTGTGTATGACAGGACTGTGTTTGGGTAAACATTTGACTGCATCATCCTAGGTTCCCATTGGTCATATCCAGAGAGTGTATTGTTTGTGTCTAAAATGTCCCATATAGAGAGGGAGGTTTCCCATACAGATCTGTCAAATCCTTTTTTTTTCTTCCCCTCCCTCTAATTAGCACCTCCTCCCTCTGTACTGCATTTCCTTATGTTGCAGCACCCCCCTGACTCTTGTCTTGTCAAGTATCTGCAAATAATGAGACTAATGTGTCTTGATTCCTGAGAAGGGAAACCTTTTCACAGATGCCAGCTTGTAGCTCACAAACTCTTTTCATTACTGCATCCTTAATGGGGCCCAGGGATCATCTCAGAGCTTGTCTTGAAATTCTGTGTTTTAGGTGGTTTTTTTTTTCTCCTCCTCTCCTTGCTGAAAAATGTCTCACTAATTGCTTTCTCTTTCTGCTTGTAAGAATGAACTTCTATGATCATGTTTTTTCATGCTTAGCACATTAAACTTTTTTTTCCCACTTGCATGCAGCACTGCTCTCACTTCGAAGATGTTCAATTAGCTATAATTGTAAGCCAAATTACAGCAGCACCAGGAGAGAGTTATTCCAACAGAGTGATTATTTGGGTTAAATTATTTCCAAAGCTGACATTTTCCTGGGAAAGAGAAAATAAAATTAATTCTCTTCATAGAAGAAAAGGCAAATGCTAAGCAATCTTTCTGAAATGAAGAACCTGATTCCTCTCTCTCTCCTACACTCTTCTTCCTTATCTTTTTTTCTTTCCTTCCTCTCATCCTTCTCTCACTCTTGAATAATAATTATTAGTTTTGTAGTAACTCGGACCTTTCACTATTGTCTGGTGACCTTGGACAAATTACTTACCTGAACTCTAGTTCATTATCGGAAAAATTGTAATAATAAAATTTATCGTGTGGACTTCGTATAAGGACTGCAGATAATAGAAAGTTCCTGGAACAGTAAACAGGGAGCTCTGGTGACCTACGACAGTAAATACTGGGCTCAGTTATAAGAAATTGCACTGAAAACCGAAACACAGGCAATTTTAATCCACCAGATGCTCCAAGGAAGAAAGATGGCAATCTCCTGCCATACTACTTACTGTCATTGAAAAGCTGTTGGACGGTCAGCTGTAAGTTGGTTCTGACTGTTTGTTATGTAATAATAGTGCAGTGGATGGAGCGATGGCGGTTTCCTGGTAAGAAGTTGTGCTGCCCACTCAAGGCAGGTTTGAATTCACCAACTTCTCTAAAGGAGAAAGATGAAAAATTTCTTTCCGTAATGGTTTACAGTCTCTGAAAATCCACTGGAGGGTTAGCTGTGAGTCAACTTTGACTCAATAGCAGCGAGTTGAGTACAGTAAATCCTGCGTATTTTTACTGTTATATCATCAGCTAAAAAGCTACACTACAAATTGTCAGCATGAGAAGGGTGGAGACTTCTTTATGGAAACAGCTGTCAAAGTCCTATTTGCTGCTTCTTTGCACATAGTAAGCTGCTGGATATTTCTGAAGGAGACTGAGCCAAGATCCAGTGCACTCCGGTGGTCGGTGCTGTTGTTGTGGAGTCTGGTCTGACTCATCGTGGCCCTATAAACAACAGCTCTGAAACCTGTCTGACTGGTGCCATCCTCATCATCTCTGACACACTTGAGCCCAGTGTGTCAGTCCCGTGTCAATGTGTCTCATTGGAGACCTTATTCTCTTTCACTGACCCCCTACCTTTCCATGCATGATATCAGTTTCCAAAGAATAACCTCTCTGGTAGAGATGTCTTATTTATATTTGAAGTGAATTCAGAAGACAGGTATTCTAAGCCAGATACAAGAACTAGAAAGAATTTCTCAAATAAGACAGGTAGTTAGTAATAATAAAATTTACATTTATTGAGTTTTTCAAATGTAGGAAAAGCCATTTTTTATATTCTTTTCAAGTACTGTTTTCTTCATTCACTTAATAACTTTGGAAGGGAGGGATATTTTTCCCTACTTGATTTGGTTGAGGAGGCAGTCCTGTGGTCTAGTTCATAGGACGTCGCACAGCCAAAGGCCTAACCTCTCTGGCAGTTGGATCCATCAGTGGAGCAGGAGAAAGATGGGCAATTTGGAAACCCAACGAAGTACAAGCTATGAGCCAGTTCATACTCAACAGCAAAGAGAATGAGTGAATTTCATTAGAGGAAAATTCATGCTCATAGCGATAAGGTATCTAATCTAAGCTAGTGTAAAATGAAGCCAGTTTTAAAACCCAAGTTTGGCCTATAAACGAATGTCTATCATTTGCAGCTTCTACAATATTGCCTCCACAATAATGGATTGTTGCAAAACAGAAAATGTTCTAGTTCAGAACTGTGGTAAAAAATGAACAAATATGCACTTCCTTCAGTTCTCAGAAAAAATTGGGAATTGCTCCAGGAGAAGTTTCAGGTATTAAAAGAACAAATATAGCTAGTTTTT